GTGCCCCAAGTGTGACACCTCAAATGGTTCACACAACATCAAATGCACTTGGAATAACTTAGAGAGAAATGAACACTTCATGAAATCGGCTAGCCCTCACCATTTCTTCATAGTCTCACATGGTTTCCAATTTTGGGAAGAATAAGATGCTTATATAGTGTGTCACAATTAGGGTTACACCATGTAAACCCTAATTGTCATGGCCTTTCATTTCCATGATCCATGGGTACAAAAACACCATGGAGCATCCATGGAGCATCCTATGGGTTTTAGCCCAACTTGATAATCTATGGAGCATTAGCCCACTATACAAGTATGGATGATTTACACAATCAACCCATATATTTAATTAGTCTCCTTTTGATCACTTAATTAATTCCAAAATAATTCTTGATCAATACTAATTAAATAATCTTATTAATATATTAGAACTTATAATATATTACCAAACCTAAAGTGTTATTTCTCTCATTTTAGTCTATCCAAATGCATGATGCCATGCAACCCAAATGGACCATGCCGAGTCGGGTCAAGTACACACCAAATATAGTTATGGACTTAGACACTAATCCAACATGAACATGGAAAATAGAAATAGAAATACTATAGCAAAAGACTGGTAAAGTATCATGTCGTTGTAATATTCGACCGTTCTAAAATTTTCCAAATGCCTAGGGCATTATGAAGGAAAGAGGACTAGAATCGGATTTAACTGAATTAGTTAAACAACTGTCAAGGATAATCTAAGGTTCGCCAAGGATTGGTCACTTGTGGACAGTTAGAAGTATAGTTATGGATGGACCATATTGACATTATTATGAATAGATAAGATTATATTTAAAATGAGTTGTCATATGGAAAATATGGAAATGTTTCCATATTGGGAGTTGGACGTTAAGAGTTTATGTATGGATTAGAAACTTTTATGCAAGAAGGATGTTCAAAGGAATGTACTTTGAATGTGAGACTTCACATCTATGGAATTGTCTTGTAACAATCTCCAATAGATCATTTTGTAATTTCATTGGCCGAGTCTTGGTGACTTTTGTGCCGTGACATTACGAAAGGATCGTTGCATAAAGTGTAAGAATCTAGCATATTCTAGTAGTGGAGAGAATTTTGTAATCTTTCACTAATTGATAATGATTAGGAATTGTGAAATGAGTTTTGTTGAAAATGTTCTCAATAGATCTATTTCACAAGGTAAGGACCATAGGAAAACATAGTGTGCATGCTAAGAGCATGGGACAATTGTTGTTATAATTCAAGTAATAAGTTGATTACTCGAAACATTATACAATGAATAATGTGTAATCAATATGGTGACTAAATAAAAGGAGTTTTATTTATACTCAAAGGTTTGGGGCCATATTGGATTCAATTATTATTGTGTTTCACTTTGCATGTTTTGACTTCCTGAATAATAAGATTATTCGAACGTTCCACAGTCGCTCATACTTTGGGAGTAGGTATGAAAGAAGATTGTCATGAATTGGTTGTAGATTGTCTAAAGTGTATTAGACATAGCAAATGTTTGCTGCAACGTTCATGAGTGCTTACGGATATGATTTGAGCATTCGATTAAACCCACTCTCACTTGGATCGCTTCATGGATTTTATCACGAGTGATTGGTGAGACGATAATATCTTATATTCTTGAAACCGAGATGTGTGAGTTGTCTCTTGTGAGTCGGTTGCACATTGATAATATGTAAACGCACTAGTAACTTGGTGTTATAAAACATATTGTTGTGTGTAATTCAGTGAGTGAGTACAAGCGACCATTGAGTCGAAGTTTATCCATTCCTTTTACCCAATGTAGGATAAAAGCGATATCTGTGGGCCCTTCGATGATTTAGTGATGACAAACATAAAGTGCTCGGCCGGGCCATGACTGATTTGATTTGTTCAATTAGTCAGTCGTCATAAATTGGAAATCGGGAAACAACGCATAGACTGAGAGAATGATTTCAATCCATGTCTCACGTCTATACGATATCTAGAATGGAGGAATATATGATCCCTTATCTAAAGGACGCGTATCTGATAAGATCAGAGTTGACAACGGCTTTTGAAAGCTACGATTGCTGATCAGGATCTGAAGTCATACGCAGAATCGTTATTAGACTTATCCAAGTGGGAGACTGTTGGATTAGTGTCTAAGCCCATAAGTATTTTGGCATGTACTTGGCCCGATTGCGAGCATGGTCCTTTTGGGTTGCCTTCACCAAAGCAACTTCATAGGATGATTTATGGAAAAAGAGAATAATTATGATTTATTAATATATTATATGAATAATATATTAAGAGAGAAATCATATTATTTAATTAATAATAGTCAAGAATTAATCAGAATTAATTTTGTGGCTAAAAGACATTAATTAAATAAAGGGGACTAGAACTGTCAATTGTGTGATAGTCGGATATTGGGCTAATGGACTCCATAGAGGATGGAGTGGACAAAATCTATGAGGAAACCCATTAGAATTCGTCCAAGGCCTCTAAAGGAGGAGTCCATGGGCTGCTTAGGGCCTAAGCAGTCAGATTAGGGTTTCCTAGTTCAAAACCCTAATAGCCTCACATATTTAAAGACCCCTAGGGCACCAAAAACGTGGTTAAGTATTCCTTAGGGTTCTTGGACGAATTTTGGTGCCTCCTTCTATTCTCCTAAGTCATCCTCTTGCTCTTGGTGTTTGTGAGCCATTAGAGGTGTGACATTTGTGACACTAAGCTTTCAGGAGCCAATTACAAGAAGGAATAGATTGTTATTACTACATAACAATCAAAGGTAAGATCTAAACCCTATTCTTACGTTAATATCGATTATCACATGCTAGATCTAGGGTTTATGACTTTGGATGATTATTGCATGTTCATTAGACAAACTAGATCCAAAGCTTTAGGGTTTACATGTACACCATAGGAATCATGTAGTGCTCAAAACCCAACATGGGCTACTCCAGACCATTTGAGCTGTCCTTTTGGACTCTTGGGGGTGCATGAAGTCATAAAAATTGTATCTTGGAGGTTAAGACTCAACCATGCATGATTTGGTGTCCACATAAGGGAGGTAGTAGGCTTAATCCATGGTTTGAGTCCCATTGAGTCATGCAAAAGCATAAAGTTTGCAACTTTATGGCTTAAGACACTTTTATGAGCTTGGATCAGAATTTTGGACGTTAAAGCTTAAAGGGTTAAGACATTGTGTGATGAAAAAATCACAAGAGATATATTGGAATCTGTACAAAGTGGGACATGTTTGGGCTGACTGACCAGTACGCCGGGTGTACTCCTAAGTACGTTGCGCATACTGGGCCAGTGCCCTGATTCCGGATCAATGACGTACGTCGGGTGTACGAGCCATGTACGTCGTGCGTACGTAGTCTGTGGGCTTAAGGAATTTTGGGCTCGAGTTTTGTTGGGCTATTTGCCTTGTTTAGGTTTGGGCCTCAGGCCTTTTGTAGTAACAATTCATTTTTGGGATTTAGACCATTTTGGAGCTATTTGGCCCATATTGGGCCGTAGGGTCTTTTAGTTGGGCTTCAAATGCCTTTTAGGCTAGTTTGGATGTGGGCCTTGGTGGGATAGGCCCAATAAGGCAAGGGTTAAGCAACCCTTTGCCTTTAAATTCAAGATTTAGGGTTTTGACTCTCAGGATGGAATATTGACCTAATTTCTAATTAGGGTTTTATACTTGTGATATAGAGAGAGGATTTTGCGATTCAGCTGCTCGAGTGTGATTCGATACCTTCAGTCTGAGGTGAGTTTCCTTCACTATATCCGTGGGTCGAAGGCACCAATGTCGACCCACCAGTTTATGTTGTAGTATGATGGTTGTCTTCGTGACAATTGTTTATTATGCCTGCAATTGCTTGATGTCTTTGTGACTCTTTAGTTATGATATTTTGTGGTAGTGGTAGTGGTAGAGGGTGAAATAGACCCGATATCGGTTGAAAGAGACCGAAGTGGTTGGAATATACCCAGTACCGGTTGAAAGAGACCGAAGGGTTGAAATATACCCAGTACCGGTTGAAAGAGACCAAAAGAGTTGAAAGCACCCAAATATGCTTAACTGTTATGTACGTATGGTATGGGGTATTTTGGGGGACCTCACTAAGCTTTGTGTTTACGGTTTTTAGTTTATGTTTCTGGTACTTCCAACTTAAAAGGGAAGGATCTGGCTTGATCACGCCCCATTCACCTGTGATTTTCCGCATCACGTGATTTTGGGACTTTGTACTCTGATAATATGTTATTATCATGTGATTTTGGGGGACCTCACTAAGCTTTATGCTTACGGTTTTCAGTTTATGTTACAGGTACGTCCAGCTCGAAAAGGAAGGGTCTGGCTTGATCACGCCGCATCCACCTATGATTTTCCGCATCACGTGATTTTGGGACTTTGTACTATGATAATATGTTATTATGATATACTCTCGACTATTTTTATGATTTCCGTATGGTTGAAATGAATTTAAAAGCGAAAAAATTATTTGACTTTTTGAGATGTTACATAGAGTTTAATCCATTGAATGACAAATAGAGTTGTCACCTCATTCAACTCCCTCATTGAACTCACCGTTGTGGATACTCTTATTATAAGAAAGATAAGGAAAGAACAATAACTGACTTATTTTTTTTAACAACAAGCAAAACATTAGATTAAAAATACCAGGGGGAGGCTGGAAGAGCGTACAAACAGCACAACAGAATAAAATACAACACAAGCTCATGAGCAAAACAAATTAGCCAACACCAAAACCAACTGACTAAACATGCAACAAGAAGAAACAGGAGTAAAACACCAGCAAAAGGAACTACATCAAGCAGAAAAGACGCACCAGCCAAGCAACGTACAAAAGTCCAGAAAAAGAAGGCAGAACCGTCAATCACCAGAAAACAAATAGCCTTGAGACACCAACTCGGACAATATCCAAAGGAACCACATCAGCTAGGGGTAAAAGCGTCAAAGCCGGCCAAAATCTAAGGTGATTAATCAATCAATCAAGGAACAAGAGTGTAATATACTCTTTAAAGGTCTTTTCTGGAAACGTGTACCCATCATCGTACCTATATGCCACATCTGTCATTCTTGCAAGATTAACAATTGGACTAATTAGATCCATTGGGACTTCTCTTGGCTTTAAACATCCCTCGTTAATATCTTCCCATGCATTTTCCACCTTTTTCATGATCTCGTTGACAGCTACATTTTCTGACACCCCAAAGGTCTTCATATACGCATCTATTTCTGTGGCTGTCATTCCTCTTTCACGCTCATACTTCATATATCCCAATTTTATTAATTGTAAGACTAATAATTAAATCTTATGTTGTAGTTTAACATAAATTTAAGATTGTATACTAAATTGTTTAAAAGATTAATATCACCATTGTTTTTGTATATCATAATTATATGGAACTCGTCCATGAATATTGTACAAGAAATCGAGGCACAATATCCAAAGACAAATTCCATAGTTAATACATATAATTATAATTTCTTTACATATTGTTGTAAATGGATTAGAAGTTATAAAATTTTTGGCACACCATTTCAAAGGCTCGCTATTTTGTTTCTAGAAAAGACCTTAAATTTTTTTTTATTTCCATATAATAATGTTGTTATATAAGTACCTCGAAAGTTTTAGCATCATCATGAAGTCTTGAAATAGTTTCCGAAGCTGTCAAGATCTTTGGATGACTTTTGTGCCAAGCAAATCCATGTTCAGTAACAATCTTACCCATACCAACCAAGGCGGTTTTTGAAAGAAGGTCGTAACTAGAACTTATTAAACCATTCTTCATATACTCTTCAAATGATGGCACATATCCAATATGTCTCCATTCAGCTTCTTGGTGGTAAGATCTAACTTGTTCTTGAAGCTAATAAAGAATAAAAGGCATAAATGGAAAGAAGTAAGTAACAATATCTTATGTATTCAAGTAGAATGTACAAGGTAAAATGGAATCATACTGCATGTTTTGAAGCTTCAACAAGATTCACTCTTCCTTTTTGAGGTATTTGTTTCTTAAATCCATCATACTCCTTCAATATAATTTCATAGAATGGTTTAAAAAATTCTGGAAGTTGCCCCATAGCACTGATTTCCCACCTAATTAGACATTTATTAATAGTAATGATCAATTCATCAAAAAAGTGAAAGGATAACCAACACGGTTTTAGCAATTGGAACGTAAAAAAACCTCAAAAATTGAGCACTAGTATAATAATCAACATTGTAATAACGAACCAATTAATACCTATTTATTGCATGGGTTATAAGTCGCATCTCCTCAATAGTAGCATAGGCATCATATGTGTCGTCTAACAATGACAAGAACACTATGACTTTTGATGTTATGATTCGAGAATGAGAATAATAAGGCTCCAAGAATAATGCCAACACCCAGACATAGAGCTCAGTTACTCTGTTTCTTGCATATAGAGCTATCACGTCGAAGTTCATATCCTTCCACCACCTATATGAAATGAAAATTATAAATTTGTTAGGTTTTACAATGTTATCCTTCCAAACGTTTTAAGGGCTTGATAATCAAGGTGTCTGAACCATCTCTTTTATTAATGATTGAGCATCGAGATTTTCGTAGAAGGATTGCATTACATCTTTATGCAAAGATATACAAGAATTATAATACACATTTGCATTTACTAGTGCGTCATTTTTTTTGCAACTAAAGTTCTTTTTTTAACTATTACTTACTGTGAGATAATTCAAAGTTCTTCCTTGTGTAAGAGTTGTAGGTACTTGATGTGCACCTTAGCAAGGTTTAGCAGTGAGTCATACGTGGAGCATTCTTCTTGATAATTAAGAAAATATAGCTTTGCCTCTACCATTGTATGCCCACGTTGAAAGGGTGTCTTCAATGCGTGTTTCACTTGCTGTGCAAGATTACCTTCGAGTGTATTTTCAACACTCTTAAGTTGAGCTTCTGTGAAAACAAATGCCTCATCTAAAATAGATTCTCCTCTTATTCTCAACTGCGTACACTCATAAAAATTTAGCGTAGCCTTCACATTAGTAATCATGTCTTCTTTGAATGCACCGGAACTACAATCCTTGAATTTTTTAAACACATCTGCACAATCACCTATTTGTGTCATACTCAATTGTTTTAACATAATAATTGAATGAAACGTCGTTTAAAATATTGTTTCAACAATTTCAATATATACCAGAAGGTAGTTTGTAACCATGGCTTCTGAAAACATGAAAGAGAATAGAAATTGTATAAAGATCTGCTTCATGGTAATCTTGCAAGTTCAGCTCTTTGAAAAGTTTATCAAGTTGGCCATCGATGTCTTCCATGAAATGATAACTCAAGCCAAGACGATACACGTAATAAATCAAACTTAGCTTCTTGGTTGAATTAATAGTTTGGTAGATTATCAATCTTCTCAGTTGTTCTTTAGGCTCCTCCATAGCCTTAGCAAGTTCTTCCAACTGCTAGAAAAGGAAACAATGTATTACTTAACAATCAGATGCTAAAATATCATGAATTTATGGTGAGTATTGTGTGCATGTTTTGAGTTACGATATATTAATCAAAGGAACATCTTACTGAATTGTCAAGAGAGAATGGTAAGAAGCGATCACCCCACATGGAAGGAGGGAAGTCGGTCAAAGGACGGACTGGCTCCATGGTGGGGTTGGTGTTTGCTTGGAGGATAACGTTAGTCGGTGCAATTAAGCCTCTTGTTTTGATCAAAGACGATTCCCTGAAACTTTATGGATGAGTGCAACATTATTATGGTATTTACAGGGCATGTATTCTCGTGCAGGGTGTTCATTTTAATTTGGCATTAATTTGGAAAGTAAAAGAAAATCAAGATAAGCCTAAGTTATGAATTTTAGATATTTAAAAATTAGTAAATTAAGGGAATGGTCCATGTGGCTTGATCATCTCAAATCTAAATCCAAATTTTAATTCTCTCTCTTGAAACAGTTAAAAAATAGCAACCTCATTTTTTTTTATAGATTACATTTAATTTTTTTTAGCTAACTTTTACAATCTAATAATCTCTTTTTTCGAGGGAGTTCCTACTTATTTTTACCCTAAACCTCAAATATATTTGGACCTGCCTTAAAAAAAACCCCAAACAGTTATGAGTCGTTTTTTTGGTTTGAATCGACTTTAAAATATAATCCTTGTTTATTAAAAATGTAATTTTAATGTTAATGTTATGACCTAAAGATTAATAAATATCATTTTAGAAAAATTTAGTTTGTAATTCAAAAAAATTAACAGTTTGTTTTCCGTTTCGATGTAAACTTTTAACTGTTTGTCTACTAAATAGTAACCGAATGTCAAGTTGAAAGCGGATGTATATGATGTAAATAATTTTGTTAGATTAATATATATATATATATATATATATATATATATTATATATATATCTATATATATATATATATATATATATATATATAGGCTTAGGTTATTTTGTTTAGAGTATCTATTGTGTTATTGTATGCATAAATGTGTGACAATCAAATTTACTTATTTATAGAAAGTAATTAATATACATTATTGAATTAAATATAATTGAAAAATATCATCTTAATTAATTACAAGGGTAATTTAGTCAATTAATATAGATTTATTAAAGGAAAATTGCATTTTTTAAGGGATCATAGATTTTATTAATTTTAAAAATCCGATTTTACGAATTATAATTCTTTTAATTCGGACATTCTGACAGAATATGTTTATGAGTATATTTCAAAATAAAAATATTCTTAGACCATAAATAATAAAAATATTCTTGAACTTATTTCTTGATCATGACTTTAACAACTTCTTGTAGAATAACAAATTTTTGAACAATCAATTGAAGAATAAAAACAAAAAATACATAATTTCTTATAGAATACGGGTAACAATTGTTAAGAATTACATGAGAATGTTACACTTATTAATAACAAGAAAACACAATTATAAATCATTCTACCAGAATATACTATTACATATATTTTTTTCAATACATTCTATATTATTATGGTAGAATAATCCATTATTTTTGGAAGATTGGTGGTCATTGTTAATCTTCATCCCATATAATGTTTATCTTCAAGATTATATTCTGACAAAATCAGAATTCAAGATTCCATTCCAGTAGAATTGGAATTCGTGATTCTATACCGATAGAATTGCAATCATAGAAAATACACAAATCACAAAGGAAATATCGAGATTTAATTCCCACAGAATCAGAATTCGCCACCATCTGTAGCAGTGCAAATATGATTAAGTTCTTCCAAATTGCTCTTTACTCGATTCCTCTGAAATTAAACAACAACAAGTAATAAGATTTGAATCTAAAAGATCTAAGCATTACCAAAAAACGTATAAGGATATTGTATCCTGAAAGCAATAATCTAAGAAAAGAATCTGACACTTTACGACAAATAAATTATTTCTCTCAGACAAATCGTCAAACACCTGGTGCTCACACACCTATACATCAAATTAATAACTGTACCACCATTCAAAAGCTTGTAATTCACTTGTCTTGAACAAATCAAGAACTTATATAGAAACACACCTGTTGAAATTGGAATTCACCAAGAGAATATATCAATTACAAAAAAATTACCTGGAACATAAATCAATTTCTAAAAAACTGATTCCAGGAACAATCAATCTCATAACAAGTTTGCAGGATATAATTGAGATTCAACAAGAAAAAAAAGGTGAAGCAACTATAAGCGGAAAAAGAAACATACGTGATGAAGGGCGGCTGATCCCCCACCTGCTCTCCGATCTGCCTACGATCCATTCTTCTTCCCCTTGATTGGACCGCCGATGACGAACAATGGACCAAAGAGGAGCTCATCGTTGTGTCTACTAAGCTGTTTTGGGGAGGTCCGGGACCCAACGACAAGGGTTTATCCAGGAAACATATCATCGAGGGGACTAAAGCTTCTTTGAAACGACTGGATATGGAGTATGTCGATCTGATTTATTGTCATCGACCGGATTTGCAAACGCCGATTGAGGAAACAGTTAGGGCTATGAATCATGTGATCAATAAAGGTTGGGCATTTTATTGGGGAACTAGTGAGTGGTCTGCGCAACAGATTACAGAGGCTTGGGGGATTGCGAATCGGATTCGGTCGACGTGCTGGAGTTGGAGATGGCGATGGCAATCGATTTTTGTAGAACTCAAGATCGATTTTGTAGTCCATTCTAATTTTGCAGATCGGGAACGAGATTTAAATTGGAGAGATTAGGTCAATACCATGATTATAGGGATTAATTTTGGAAGTTACTAATCAAATTACTAAATTACCCTTATTTATTTATTTAATTATTTAATTTTTTGTTTAATTTTGATTGGCCCACATTTATGTATATAATAACACAATACTTACTTTAAACAAATGAACCTAGCTCTCTCTCTCTCTCTCTCTCTCTATATATATATATATATATATATATATATATATATATATATATATAGATCCGGTAAGAAATTTTTTTTGGTAGGAAGGTAAGAAGGTTTTTTTCTACATATTTTTTTGACGAACAAAATAAATGAATCACTAGATGATTCATTTGTAAGATGATTCACAAGAAAAAATTCCCAAAAAAACATCTTTATGATTCATTTTTAAGTAAATTAAGAAAAAATTCACTTTTATGACAATTTTAGTGAATAACAACAAAATCATTGTATAAATGAATCATCGAAATGTTTTTTTGAGAATTTTTCCTTGTGAATCATCTTACAAATGAATCATCTAATGATTCATTTTGTTTGTTCGCGAAAAAAATATGTAGAAAAAAAAGTTCTTACCTTCCTACCATAATTTCCTTCTTATTTGATCTTGACTATATATATATATATATATATATATATATATTAAATGACAACACTTTATTAAAAATAGAAGAAACAACTAGTGCGACTATATGGGAAATTACATTACATTGGATAAAAAGGCTAAACGGTGTGGACACCCTTTTACCGGCGGTAGTCCGACGTGGACACCTTTACCGCCGGTCAACACGGCGCCGTACCCCCGTTTTACCACCGGTGAGATTTGTGCATATGAAAACAAGAGTACCGAATGTGTTAGACGAAATGCAAGTGATGTCCAGCCTAGCTGGGTTGATGCACCGGGTTTTATACCCATGTGGGGCGTGAGGTCGGAAGTTCTATTCCCTTAGACTACCTCTTGTGGTGCCACATGTGAGAAATTTTTCCTTGGAAATCTCTATGGGGGCTGGGTTTGCCCTGTAAAGGAGCTCGAACCCGGGATGCTCGTTGAAATATTGCGAGTAGGCTCCACTTAATTCGTTTGCCGTTTCCAAAAAAAAAAAAAAAAACATGTGGTGTTTCTTTTGAAAAATTAGCATATGTGCACGTATGTATTTGTGTACCCTTGAATCCTTTAATTGATGCATATATGCACCATTGCTGTTTTTATTTTTAAAAAACATGATAAAATGAAGTTATTAGTTTCTCACTATAACTTTACTTAATGTATATGTATATACTAACATTCCCTTCTTTCTTTTTATTCACAAACACCCTTTTGATTAGTTTTATTAATACTAAACATATATCCTTTTCAAATACATTGCAAACTATAATCAACAAGCAGATACATATCTAGTTGAAAGTACGTAATAAAAAGCCATAACTTATAATAAATGCACGACTTTAATTTTGAATCAGTATAATATCTAAACATGAATATGTATTATTTATAACATGTCATAAATTCATAATAAGTGATAACATATATAATTAATGTAGTATAATTAACAATTAGGTTGACTTCTGCGTACTTCCGAGCTAGTGGGAATGCAGTCTTGGAGTAGGTGGTACTTCCATACTCTATACCTATCAACAGAGTCCTAGTTTGCACATAGGACACAAATATTTAGTGTCGTATTAGGTTGTGTGTTGTCACCTTATCATAGTCTACCTCATTTTACCATCAAGAATATCATGCATCAAGAATGGTATACCATCTTCGCCAGTCGCCACACACACACACACAAGTTCCATTGTCATGTGGCAGAAACCACATACAGGAATGATGTGTTAACCATGGCAAAGACATGACACATGTCCACACCCCCACACCCTCTCGTCTTAACTAACAACAACCCATATAATCCATGAATATAGTTATAAATGTAATATGCCAAAATACTATTAACATAAACCGAGTTGCCAAAATATTATTAACATAAACCGAGTTTTATAAAATACTAAATGAACTCACTTGAAAAGTTAGGTGTGTTTCATTTCATGAATAATTCACATGGTGACTCATTGATCTAATTTTGGACAACTTTTGGAACGGTCCGGTCTTTTTTCTGACCGGTCATCGTTATAGAAAAGTTCATTTCACAATCTTTGCAGTTTCTGTTTTCGGTTCAGATTTTAGTGTTTTTTGGTTGGGATTTCGGTTTTTGCATTCATAACCATTTGATCCGATAAATATTTATGTTTATATTTTATAATCCAAACATAAAAAAAAAGCTTTTAAGCAAAATAGTATAGTTCACATAGAATGAATTATAGTAAACAAAATGTTATGAGGAAAACAGTAACAAAAATCTTTTTAAGGAAAATAGTATACAAAATGTTATAAGAAAAATAGTAATGATATATATATATATATATATATATATATATATATATATATATATATATATATATATATATATATATTTATAAAAGGAAAACTGTAAA